AGTAGGTCCGAAGGCGGGGGCATAGGATAACCAGCAGGGGTTGGAGAAGGCCTAATTGCAGGATTATGTATGGAAAATATGAGGGGAGCAGCCTTCCGGGGTGGGGGTAGCTGGGAAGATTCCAGGCAACCAGGAGAAGGGTAACCAGAGGAATAATTCTATACTCAGGGCGGGACAGGATCAGGCCTTTCCTTATGGGTTCTTTGAGGCCTGCAACAAAGGCCGCTGATAGCAATTAGGTATGGGCCTTGTTATATAAGGTAAAACCCAGGTCAGAGAAAATTTGGGACAATACAATACAATACTTCACAAATGCTTACTTATCTTGGATGACATCGTTAATACAGGTAGCCTGATCAGCTCATTTATCTTAGGCCTAAACAGTCATGCCATGCAGCAGAATGGGCCTGTAGGATTTGAGCAATCCCTCAGTGGAAGGGCATGGGTTGTGGGTTGTTTCTATGGGTCTGGGAGAGAGCCCACCAGAGTTGCGGCTTGGGACAGGGTGAATGTGACATACATCAAAGGGGCTCCATCCGTGACAGATTGAGCTTTGGGAATCTCACCATGGGGTCATGTAGGGCTGTCCCCATATAGGCTATCGCCGTTAGGGGGAATCTGATGCTCATAGGAGATGGCGGCGTTGAAGGAACTAGGGGCTGTTGCTGCTACGTTAGCACTGTACAGAGAAGAAGGGGCGTAGGGGTTGAAGGGAGGTGGGTAACACCTGGACTCCACCCTAGGGTGTAAGAACGGGTGGGTCTCCCAGGGACAATAATGGTTCGTCCGCGAGGACGGACATAACAGGGGAAGGCCTCATGATGGGGGCAGCCATGACAGGGGCGGGAAAGGAAGTGATGGCAGGGGTGGGAAGAGGAAGTGACAGCCATGACATGCGCGAGAAAGGAAGTGGCAGGAGGTGAGGGCATAGCAGGGGCGAAAGTGACGGGAGCGTGTACGTTAGGAGTGGGCGTGACTGGGGCGGGAGCAATAGGGGCGGAAATGGAAAGCGTTACAGGGGCGGGCAGGAAAGGCAGGATGCAGGCAGGGGTGGGAGCAGAGGAATACAATAATCATTAAATAAATAAGGCCAACCTCCTTCCCTTCGTGCCAGGCGCCATGATAGGGCAGTAGCTGGCACGTACCTTCAACATTACATATACTATAGCTGATAAAATAAGTAAAATAAACAATATCCTTTGCAAATGAAATACTAAACTTTTAAATAAATTACCAAACGGAAAATCTAAGTTAAATTCTGTAACACAACATAATAAGTGTCGAAACTACACTTAAGTATACAAATTTGGAAAATAAAACAGGCAAATTAAATAAGACAGTTGAAAACATTGTGCATTTAACAGCCCATAAAGCTGTTCATAGAAAAAAATATACTTGAAATTAGCATTCCTCAAACATAGCATCTGTGCTTCAGTACATTATTAGTCAGTATAGATTAATACAATTCATCTCCCATCGCCTTATTACACCCAACAGTAACGAACAGTCCATATAACTTACAATGTGCCCAAGATTCATACAAGCTCCACATTTACCAAATTACAATTCAAATTAACATGCTATTGCCTCACAATATTCAACTAACTTCTCCTACTATTCAACATTGGTATTCAACGTGTCCCTTCTTATCCACATTACTTATTATTCCAACACAATTCTAGTATCCTCTTTACAACTCTGTAGTTTTCAACCAGCCTCTATTTTTTTGTTTTTTTATAATACAACCCTCTTGTTTAACAATGTAAACAAAACTACACAGAAATTCTTAACTAGGTTATTGTCTAGCAATAATCCCATTTTTTTACTTTTAGCAGCAGCCCTCTGGCTATAACCGTCCGCTGGAAGACATATTAATATCAACGTTACATGGCTTGGCAATCTCCCTCGCATTCCTCACTGAACACAGGCTTGCCAGCCCTGACTGAGCTTCACAAACGTATAACCCATTCCCCCCTTAACCAAATGTCACAAGATAGAGGGAGGGAGACAGAGACAAGAGAGTTTAGCACAAGGGGAGAGGAGGGGGGGACAAGCAGGAACTGGAGGAGGGAGAGAGACAAACAGAGTTGCAGGCTCGGACGTAAATCCTGTGAATACCTTAAAGTAACAAGACAGAAGGACAGAGACTTGCACGTTATATGTATTCCAAACAAAGAGTGTCTCTCTGCAAGCTATTTACCTGTCTTTGGTGTCCTCTGGCAGCCGGCGTGGGGACGGAGCCAGGCCAATCACAGGGATAGGAGATATAGGCAAGGTGCTAAAATGCGATCATTACCATATATGCAGAGGTGATCAATCTCTGTCCCGTCTCTGGAGGTCTGTTCTCCGGTCTCCCCCGAGGATGGCTGTCCGTCGGACACAGCCGCGGAGCCCCACGTTGGCGATTGATGGGTTGTAAGCTGCTGACAAATTTTTAAATTGTAACTGTCACTTTTCTTGTCAGCAATCTTGGTTGTGACATTAACTGTAGTAACTGCAGTCTTTCTAAATGTGATTCCAGCCATCTTGGTGGTGGCATCAATGTCAGACATATGTATTTGATTGGTATAAGTTATTATATTAGGAGTGTCCCACTTTGTTTCCATGTCCTGTGATGAAGGATTATACATTTCTATCTGTGTTTTAAAGGGACACTATAGTCACCTGAACAACTTTAGCTTAATGAAGCAGTTTTGGTGTATAGAACATGCCCCATGCAGCCTCACTGCTCAATCCTCTGCCATTTAGGAGTTAAATCCCTTTGTTTATGAACCCTAGTCACACCTCCCTGCATGTGACTTGCACTGCCTTCCATAAACACTTCCTGTAAAGAGAGCCCTGTTTAGGCTTTCTTTTTTGCAAGTTCTGTTTGATTAAGATTTTCTTATCCCCTGTTATGTTAATAGCTTTCTAGACCCTGCAAGAGCCTCCTGTATGTGATTAAAGTTCAATTTAGAGATTGAGATACAATTATTTAAGGTAAATTACATCTGTTTGAAAGTGAAACCATTTTTTTCTTTCATGCAGGCTCTGTCAATCATAGCCAGGGGAGGTGTGGCTAGGGCTGCACAAACAGAAACAACGTGATTTAACTCCTAAATGGCGGTGAATTGAGCAGTGAAATTGCAGGGGAATGATCTATACACTAAAACTGCTTTATTTAGCTAAAGTAATTTAGGTGACTATAGTCAGGGCCAGATTAAGAGCCCAGTGGGCTTGGTGCTGACAATTATGATGGGGCCTAATTACAAAATCTTATCGACCAAAAACACTAAAACAGTCATAGCTCTCAAACGTCATATATCTGAGTTGGTGTTGGAGGGAAACTCAAAGGATGCAGCTATAAGAAAACACATACTCTGTTAATCTCTCTCTCTAATTTATGCTTTCATCTTTCAAGTAAATCCATACCCCCTAACCATGGCCGGATTAACATAGGGGCTGATGGAGCTGCAGCTCCAGGCCCAGGCCCATGGAATAGGCCCATTAAAAAAATTTTTTTTTTTTTTTGCACACTACTCTTAGGTTTGCCACCTGACTGGTATTTTAATGGCACAGATGGTATTTGAGGCTGCCTGGCTGTGCCGGTATTGCTGTAATACCGGCAATACAAATGCAGGTAATTTTCTCAGAATAAATGGAAATTACTCTGCAATGCCAGCACCGGCCAGTAGGGGTCACTGTGTGTGGAAAGAGGCAGGGATAGGAAGTTACAGAATATCCCTGCTTCTCTCTACTACTCGCTGATCCGCGGGGGAGCAGCTACACAGCACAGAGAGTCCAGACAGCAGCTCTACAGCTCAGGTAAGTGAGGGATGGGGGGAAAGGCAGCAGGGACACTAGGGGACATATGGGGACACAGACACTAGGGGACACATGATGACACATACACTAGGGGACACTGAGACACTAGGACACAGACACTGAGACACTTGGGGACACTGGAAAACATGGGGACACTGAGACACTTGGGGACATGGGGACACAGACACTAGGGGACACATGGGAACACAGATACTAGGAGACACTGAGACACTAGGACACATGGGGACACAGACACTGTGAGACCTGGGGACACAGACACTTGGGGACACTGGAAAACATGGGGACACTGAGACAATAGGGGAAACATGGGGATGCTGAGACACATGGGGACATTTGGAGACACTATGTCCCCCAGCCAGTGTCCCTAGGGTCTCAGTGTCCCCAAGTCCCCCAGTGTCTGTGTCCCATGTCTCTCAGTGTGCCTAGTGTCCCCATGTGTCCCAATGTCCCCATGTCTATGTTCACAACTGTCCCGTGTCTCCCCAGGTGTCTGTCTCCCAGCCAGTGTCCCCTAGTCTCCCAGTACCCCCTTATCTCCCAGTGTCCCCTAGTCTCCCAGTGTCTGTGTCCCTAGTGTCTCAGTGTGCCTGGTGTCCCCATGTCTCCCAGTGTCCCTATATGTCCCAGTGTCCCCAAGTGTCTGTCTCCCAGCCAGTGTCCCCTAGTCTCCCAGTGTCCCCTAGTCTCCCAATGTCTGTGTTCCCATGTCTGTGTCCCTAGTGTCTTAGTGTCCCCAAATGTTTCAGTGTCCCCATGTCTCCCAGTGTCTGTGTCCCTAGTGTCTCAGTGTCCCCATTTCTCCCAGTTTCCCTAAATGTCTCAGTGTTCCATGTCTCCCAGTCCCCATGTCTGTGTCCCCAGGTCTCTCAGTGTCCCCATGTCTCTCAGTGTCCCCATGTCTCTCAGTGTCCCCAGTATCCTAGTGACATGAGGGACACACTGAGAAATGGGGACACAGACACTGGGAGACTAGGGGACTGGGTGAGATGGGGACACTGACACTGTGATACATAGGGACACTGAGACACTGGGTGACTTGCGAGACTGAGACACTGGGAGACAGTGAGACACTGGGAGCAATCCATCTATACAGCAGAATCAAACTGTGACTTGTTTGTTGGTGATTTTACAGAATTTTCTCTGATGTCACTCCTTGTGATTTACACGCATAACTAATTAATTATACAAATGATTAAGGCTGGTATTTTTTTCCAAGAAAGGTGGCAACCTTAACTACTCTTCACATACTCTTGCTTAAAGGAGCACTATAATGTCAGGAACACAATCATGTATTTCTTAACCTATTATGTTAAAACCACCACCCTGGTCCCTTCTTGCCTCCCTAAATATAGTAAAATATTACTTGTATTCAATTCTGCAGCTTGTATTCACTTCCCCATAGGATTGGCTGAGACTGTCAACTAGGCAGATCAGGGGCAGAGCCAGCACAAGTCCAACATAGCCCTGGCCAATCAGCATCTCCTCATAAAGATAAATTGAATCAATGCATCTCTATGAGGAAAGTTCAGTGTCTGCATGCAGAGTGTGGAGACACTGAATGGCAGTGCTGCAAACTAGGCAATACTGCCCCAGGAAGCACCTCTAGCAGCCATCTAAGGAGCGGCCAGTGGAGTTATTTTCTCCGAAAAGACAGTGTTTACTGCAAAGGCCTGAATGGAATGATTCTACTTACCAGAACAAATACAATAAGCTGTAGTTGTTCTGGTGACTATAGTGTCCCTTTAAGTTTAGAAGCTTAAGAGGGATGTATGGGAACAAAACTTGTGTGCACTAGCTGACATTAAAGTTAGTTTAGGTAATGCAGACGTTGGTCTCTCTAACACTGTGGCATGTCCCCTTTCTTCTACACTCACTACAGACACCTTTTCTCTGTCAGACTATACCAGGAACTTCTGCCTGCTAGTAAGAAGGTAAGGAGACAAGTGGACCAGCGAGTGCTAGGGGACAGTCCTTAGAAAGAATGGAGTGAGCGCATCATTAGACGCATTTATGTCAAGCTCAAGGTGCTGCCTGCATTGTATGCCCTTAGTTGGACAGCCTGCAGGATTGGCAGGCAGCCTGACATGCATTCATGCCAGGCTGACCTTCCAATTCTTTGGACAAACATGCCCCCTTTTTGGGCATGTTCACCCCTTTTGGCAGGTCTTGTCACGTGATTCGCGCCAGTGGCACACCCTTTTACCCCGCCCATTGACTTCCTGCTTCACTGGACACTGCTGTTAGGGGTTATGGATTTACTTGAAAGATGGAAGCATAAATTAGAGAGAAATTAGCATAGAGTATGTGTTTTCTTATAGCTGCATCCTATGAGTTTCCCTCCAGCACCATCTCCATCAGATACATGACGCTTGGGAGGTATGATTGTTTTAGTGTTTTTGGTCGATAAGATTCCGTAATTAGGCCCATCATAATTGTCAGCACCAGGCCCACTGTGCTCTTAATCCGGCCCTGCCCCTAACAGCAGTGTCCAGTTAAGCAGGAAGTCAATGGGCGGGGTAAAATGGTGGGCCACTGACGCGAATCACGTAACCAGAACTGCCAAAAGGGGTGAACATGCCCCAAAAAAGGGCATGTCTGTCCAAAGAATTGGAAGGCCAGCCTGGCATCGGTGTCCCTATGTATCAGTGTCAGTGTCCCCATGTCACCCAGTCCCCTAGTATCCCAGTGTCTGTGTCCCCATTTCTCCCAGTGTCCCCATGTCTCAGTGTGTCCCGGGTCACTAGGATACTAGGAGACACTGAGAGACATGGGGACACAGTGAGACATGGGGACACTGAGAGACCCGGGGACACTGAGATACTTGGGGACACTGGGAGACATGGGGGCACTTGTGGATACAGACATGGAGACACTGGGAGACAAGGAGACACTTGGAGACATGGGGACACTGAGACATTTGGGGACACTGGAAGAAATGGGGTCACAGACACTAGGGACACAGAGACATGGGGACACAGACACTGGGAGATATGGAGACACAGACATTTGGGGAAACTAAGACACTAGGGACACTGAGAGACATGGGAACACAAACACTGGGAGACCAGGGGACACTGGGAGACATGGGAACACTGAGACACTAGGGACAATGGCTGGGAGGCATGGGGACACAGACACTTGGGGACACTGGGAGACACGGGGGCACTTGTGGACATAGACATGGGGACGCTGGGAGACATGAAGACACTAAGAGACATGGGGACAGAGAGACATGGGGACACTGATACATTTGAGGACACTGGGAGACATGGGGACACTGAGACACTAAGGACAATGGCTGGGAGACATGTAGACACTGGTAGACATGGGGACACAGACATCTTGGGACACTGGGAGACATGAGGAGACATGGGGACACTGAGAGACATGGGGACAGAGACACTGGGAGACTAGGAGACACTGGGAGCCATGGGGACACTGAGACACTATGGACACTGACTGGGAGACATGGCGACACGTGTCTCCCTATGTCTCACAGCATCCCCATGTGTCTCAGCGTCCCCATCTCTCACAGTGTCCCCTAGTGTCTCAGTGTCCCCATGCTTCCCAGCGTCTCCATGTTTCCCAGTGTCCCCAAGTGTCTCAGTGTCTCCTAGTGTATCAGTGTCCCCAAGTGTCTCAGTGTCCCCATGTATCCCTGCAGCCTTTCCCCCTCATTCTTCACATAGAGCTGTAGTCTGTCTCTGCAGTCTGGGAGCTACTGTCTGGACTCTCTATGCTGTGTAGCTGCTCCCCCTCGGATCAGTGAGTAGAGAGAGGTAGGGAGATGCTGTAACTTCCTATCCCTGCCTCTCTCCACACACAGTAACCCCTACTGGCCGGTGCTGGTATTGCAGAGTAATCTCAGTTTATATTGAGAAAAATATTTGCATTTGTATTGCCGGTATTACTGCAATAACGTCACTTCCAGGCAGCCTTAAATACCGTCTGTGCCTTAAAATACAAGTCAGGTGGCAAACCTAAGAGTAGTGTGTAAAAAGATTTTTTTTTTTTAAAGTGATAAAATTATTTTTTAAATTTCTTTTCTTTAATGGGCCTATTCCATGGGCCTGGGCCTGGAGCTGCAGCTCCATCAGCCCCTATGTTAATCCGGCCCTGACTATAGTGTTCCTTTAATATGTTTTGATGAGGAGGAGTGGTTCAGTAAACCCTCACTCACCCCTGCTGGATATATGTTGCTATTTTTCAAAGTTGACACAGTTTTCTCCTTTTTTTTTGCTCCCCCTGTCTATCTAAATCCCTCTGCAGCAAAGTAATATCTTGCTCACATTGTATTGTTTTACAAAGTTTGATGTCATCTGCAAACACTAAAACATGACTTTCAATGCGGTCTTCAAGATCATTTATAAACATGTTAAATAGAAGGGGTCCCAGAACAGACCCCTGAGGGACACCACTTGCCACCTCTGTCCAGCTTGAAAATTTACCATTAATGACAACTCTTTGTACTCTGTTTTTAAGCCAATGTTCTACCCAAGAACAAGCATTTTCATCTAGACCGATTTCCTTGAGTTTGAACACTAATCTATTGTGTGGAACTGTATCAAATGTCTTGGCAAAATCCAAATAGATCACATCCACTGCAACACCCTGATCTATACTTCTACTTACTTCTTCGTAGAACGCAATCAAGTTAGTTTGACATGACCTGTGCTTCATAAAACCATGCTGATTTTTGCTGATAACCATGTTCTTCTCAAGGAATTCTTGAATATTATCCCTTAATAACCTTTCAAATATTTTACCAGCCACAGAAGTTAAGCTCACAGGTCTATAATTTCCAGGCAAGGATTTTGAACCCTTTTTGAATATAGGAACCACATCTGCCTTCCTCCAATCCTCCGGAACACTTCCTGAAAGAAAAGAATCTTGAAAGATTAAAAACAGAGGTTCACTTATTTCTGCACTTAGTTCCTTAAGTACACGTGGATGGATACCGTCAGGCCCTGGAGCTTTGTTTATATTAACTTTCTTTAGTTGCTGCAGCACCTTGTCTTGAGTTAACCAATTATAATTATTCTGCAAGTTTTTAGTAGCAATCATTTGCACATCTATTGCCATGGGTTCTTCCTTAATATATACGGAGGAGAAATAGTTATTTAAAATTCCTGCCTTTTCCTGGTCTTCATTAATTAACACCCCCGTTTCAGTTTTTAGTGTACCTACACTTTCATTTTTATTTTTTTTTCGAATTTATGTACTTAAAAAATGCTTTGGGGTTGGTTTTGCTCTCTTCAGCTGATACTGTTACATAGTTACATAGTTACATAGCTGAAAAGAGACTTACGTCCATCAAGTTCAGCCTTCCTCACATTTGTTGCATATTCATATTTGCTATTTTTTTACATTGGCATTTTTACAGTTGGGAGAGTTAACCGAAAATTAAAGTGGATGGGAGGAAGGGGTATGATACATATAAAACATGTGAAACAATGTTGCACATTTGCTATTTTACCATGTAATCTTAACGTACATTGGCCTCAATTTAATTTGCTTGTGTCACCATTTCAAACTATCACAAACTGGCCTTGATTTAATTTACATAAATACATATTGTATACAATTGCTGTTGAAAAACTAATATAGATATGCTTGATTGCTATTTATTTACAAGATATTGCTATTTAAGTTTAGAGACAGTAGTGTGAATAATATACACATATGACTAGATATGTAAATTAGACAAATATCTTGTTGTTTATCTGACAGGGTAACTTTTAAATACTACCAAGATATCTTAGCAATTGTTTTTGCAATGGATGAAATCAACAGAAATAATGCCCTACTCCCAAACATCACATTGGGATTAGAGATGTATGACTCATGTGCATGTGAAGGTAAAGTGCTGGAGAGTACACTCATAATACTTTCGGGGAAGCATGAATATGTACCAAATTACAAATGTGGAAATAAAGGAATCCTAGCTGGCTTCATTGGGCATCTTTTTTCATCTTCAAGTTATATCATGGCACAACTAACTGGAATTTATAGCTATACACAGGTAATTAGTTAAAAAAAACATAGAAATTCAGAACAATATTATAAAATATGTATTCTATGTATCTTGCCTGGTCTTACTAAAAAAAATATCATTTTATACATGATTTGAGTTGCAGATGAAATTGTCTGATGTTTGTGAAGATATAAATATGTTGTGCCTTATCAAGACAGATCTTATGCCAATGGCACCAAAGACAGGAAATATCCCAGGTTCCTCCCTTCTTTTATATGATTTGTCTTTGTTCATCTTTTGAGCCACACATTGTAGTTATTGTAGTTGTTCGTCTGTCTTATTTTAAAAAATGAATACATAAATAAGTGATTGCACTTTGAATAATCATGGTCCCCAAAATTACGTTTATATCCATCAGAATTTGGATTGTTCCTCAAATTGACACAGTTTGATATATGTGTCTTCCTGTAGGAAGATGAACACGGATCCCAGATTATATACATAGCTTATCAAAAAATATTGTTATACTATGTTGGGGTTTGATTAAAATCTAATTTTAATGAAAAACTAAAATTATTTCCATTGTATGAGCAATTTAAATTTCATACAGCATTAAGACTTTTTTTTTTTTTGTAAATATAAAGGTGGCATTAAGACTTCTGTATTGTATATTTAGGGATTAGAATGAGACAATGATTGAGATAATGCAGGGATTTGCTTAGAAAGTGGTAAATCAGGAATTAAATAAAAGCTCTCAGCAATAAAGCAAAGTTTAGCAGTAATAAATGTCATTGATTTTAGCAAGGAAATAATTAAAGGAACACTGTAATTACCATAACCACAACTAGCACTTTAGTGGTTATGTTGCCAAGAATGTCCTAGCACCCCATGCTGTAAATAGTCAAACTGTTTTAGAATGGCTTGACTTCTTTCCTGGGGTTTTTTAGGTGCAGCTCCCTCCACTACTTCTGTCATAGTTTGGTAGTTTTATCTCTTTTAAATATAGTCTCTTCCTTTACTGTGTTGATTCCCTTTATGTATTTAAATGTTTCTATCATATCCCCCCTGTCTCATCTTTCCTCCAAGCTATACATGTTAAGTTCCTTTAACCTTTCCTGGTAAGTTTTATCTTGCAATCCATGAACCAGTTTAGTAGCCCTTCTCTGAACTCTCTCTAAAGTTTCAATATACTTCTGGAGATATGGTCTAAAGTACTGCGTACAATACTCCAAGTGAGGTCTCACCAGTGTTCTGTACAATGGCATGAGCACTTCCCTCTTTCTACTGCTAATACCCATCCCTATACAACCAAGAATTCTGCTAGCATTACCTATTACATTGTCTCCTGCCTACCTTTAAATCATCAGAAATAATCACCCCTAAATCCCTTTCCTGCAATGTTGAGGTTAGGACTCTATCAAATATTTTGTACTCTACCCTTGGATTTTTACATCCAAGATGCATTATATTGCACTTATCCACATTAAATGTCAGTTGCCACAA